GGTTTTGTTTTACTTGCCCTGCCAGCTTTTCCTCCTTCTGTCATTTCTTCTTTTTTTGCCAAAAATAAGGGAAGTGAGGGTGGCCGGGCCCCCCAGGCCCCTATCCTAGATCCGCCACTGTCAATAGGTTGATGGTTGCATACCGGTAGATGTAGATACCTATACTGACTTACCATGCAATACTTCTGTTAGCTGTCCAGGTGTTATCATTAGGAACTGTAGTTCAGGAAGTCTTAATTGTACAAATGGTATTACCCTGCGGCCTTGCTGTCTGGGACTCCATTCCCAGTGTGAAGTGACATCTGAGCAAAGCTGCATATTTCGCAGAGGTCATTGGTACAAAGACAAGGTAGATTAATCATTTTTTAATGACATTAATGTTATTAATTGTCCAACAAATTAAGTCCAGTTGATGTTTATAATAAGGATAGTATAAATCAAGTGCAGTAACAAGGACTGGTATTCCTCCAGTAAGGTCACAAGTGAGATTATTGTTGAGAGATTTATTGTAATTTTTGACTTACCATTGACAAAAGACCAGTGGAAACCTTGCACCACATCCAAATGCTTGGAAAATATTTGACCAACTTTAAAGGATCATGTGTACTAAAGACATCTGTGGTCAAGTGTTGATCGCTACTCTCAATCGACATCTCAACCAACATCTCGAGGAATACTTTGCCAACACTCAATCAACAACTCCATTGACACTCAATCAACAGTCCACCGAGTGTCAACCGACTCATATGTATTGATTGACACTCGATGGCATGTCTGCAAAAATTAATCAACTCTTTGAGCAGCTATTGACCAAAATGTCGATCAAGTTTTGGTCAAGTGTCAACCAAGGTGTCAATCAAGTATTGATCAAGTTTCGATCAAGCGTCAATCGAGGGTATTGATTGAGGTTATCAATCGACACTCGACTGTGGATGGCTTTAGTACACATGATCCAAGAATTGATTGGCTATTGTCTAGTTATTACATGTAGCCCTCTCAGCTATCTTAGCCAGGTAATAAATTGAAATAACATTGTTATTTCACTTATTTTTGTTGCCGTTTAAATGGCTTAGATGCTCTGTAGTGATGTGAATTGCCTTGATGGCATTTGTGGTATGACTGGAGTCAAACACAAGACTGGTGGACATCAGGGGTACAGATTGATTACTCCCATTTTCTTGCACCTTGGTAAGTCCAGTAATTTTAGATGAAAAGACAGTGAGCACATGTGAAATGAATTATTGTCTTAGGCTTTTCAATCCTCGAGATTCAAGGAGGGAAAACTCTTGCAACCTTTCTATGGGTGGTACTTCCACACTGCTCTATTACATCCTACTACCGGTAACTGTCAGGCACACCACAGCTACAGTACAGACTAAGCAACAGCTGATTTCCTATGTGGATTTTCTGAAAGTGAGAAGCCTGAAAAGAGCATGGCAAAATGGCCTCCTTTCATTGTGCAAAGCTGTGGTCTAAGAAAAATTATGATGAGCCCAAAGGTTCCTAACCAAGAAATCCTGGGCACTCAGCACTTAAATTTATGTCAAAAAAGTAAGTTTTTCCAGACGTCCAAAGGCAAAAGTTAGTCGTCTGTAGCACCTGGGCACTTCTAGAGCGCAGCCCTGATTCTGCCTTGATACCAAGTTTTGATTGTATTTCTTCCACTCACATTTAATAATAATAATAATAATAATAATAATAACTAATAGTAATAACTTTTTTCTCTTCCTGATGATGAAATCCAGTGGTCAGAAATAGTTTTCTACCAAGATACCAAGAATGCCACTTTATATGAATACATGTGTAGGCCTGTGACAAACTTTGTTTACTCACTTTGCATATTTCATTTTGTTTCAGGTGTCCTTCATCTTATCATGAATCTCTTCTTCCAGGTTCCTGTGGGGATGTTGATTGAGAGGGAAATAGGGTAAGTTTTCATAACACATGCCATGAGGCCAGTTAGAAGAGAGAAAAATGTTAGACACTCTGCTGTTAGTGATGGCTGGAGCAATTGATGGCCATTTCACAGCCTATTAACCCTGTAATATACCTGAGCTATTCCTGCATAATCATTATCTGCCTATTGAGCAACTGGGTAGCAGCTGGGATGGATCAGTGGGGGTTTGAGGAGTTCAGTCAAACCCCTAAATTAAGAAAAATGAGACATTGTAACACCCTGACTTAGCCTCAGAATGCCAGAAATCCCATTTTAAAATTATATGGGGGAGGATCCCTTGGACCTCCCTACATGGGACTGCTTTCTGCAATCTGTACCTTGAATCTCTTCTCTAAAATCCTGTATCCACCCCAGAGCAGGGATGGCATAGTGGTGAGAGTGTTTCCCAGCCTAGGTTCGATTTCGGTCTGGTGTCGTATGTGCATTGAGTTTGTTGTTGGTTCTCGCCTTGCTCAGAGGGTCTTTCTCCGGGTACTGTCATATTCCTCTTTCTTATAAAATAGACATTTCCAAATTCTAATTTAACCTGAAGAAAAGACCCGCATGAAAACAAGCTAAGACTGATGTGGCTTCCTGTCTCAATATTACGATTAAAATTCTTTTGGCAGGATCGCCGGAATTCGTGTGAAAGAATTATTTAATCTTTTTTAGTCTAGTATTGTCATAAATAAATCCTATATCTTTAAGGTTCTTTGCAGG